AGTCTCTTACTGTAGAAATACTCGTTTCATAGTGTATGCATTGAAATGCGAGTGTGTATTGTATGTTGGGTTCAGGTTGGGCTCTGTGTGTTTGTATGAGGCGTAATCCTGCTGCTGATTATCACTGCGTTTCTATTGTTGTGTGTCCATCAGCCTCTGTTCACGCTTCAGTCCAGGATCATCACACTGACTCAGCTAACGAGAATTCAGCCAGCTCTTCATTAACACTCTGATTCACCAGCTGAGCTGTTTTGATAGTGTTTGGCAAATCACTTTTTTCAGTGTCTTCAATATATGCTGCGTTTGTCGCTCAGAAATACTTTATCTGATTGTTGAGGCTTCACCAAAGTCAGTTTTGGTAGAAAATCGCAATTTAGATCACATCTAGTGTGGTGGGGTTTAATTATGCTCAGGGCGTTTTTTGGTATTTTCGCCTAAATTTGACATACTCAAATTCTAATGTTTACCCTACACGCATACAATGGAGGAAATGAAAAAAAAATGTCATTGTAAAGAAAAACCTTTGAACTACAAAATATGAGTGTAATTCTTTATAAATAACATTATAAAGAGGACACTCCAAGCTTTCAAATGAACCCATATATGGGCTGATACCATATAAGGAAGGCTATGTAAATGAAGCATAAACATTTTTAACGCGTATTCGGGTCCACAGAGTTTAACTGTTTTTAACAGTCTGATAGCACCTCTTTTGCATTTTAATTTAATTTTAATTTATTTATTTAATTTACTTTTTAATAGCATGTTTTACCAATTTGAGTGAAGAGTTGAAAAATCATGATAATAAAGTTTCAAATTACACCTGATGTTTTCTTAACCCCTTTAACTTGATTATTAGCATACATTTTATTTAAAAGAAAATATTTTTTTCCCCTTTTATAATTCAAACAAAAAATTATTTGTTATTTTGTGCTTCTGAATATGTTGACATAAAATCCAAAACAAGACTTGTACTTAAAACTGTACAATTCTGTATTCATCATGTTTATTTATCATAAGTAGATTTACATTCTGTTAATATTATTTTTCTTATTTATTACTATTGATCTATTTTAATTTTTAATTTATCCTTAAGTAGATATACTTTCTTTATTAATTGTTAATATGTATGTTTTTTATTTATTACTGTTTATCTATTTTAAATGTATATTTGTCCTTAAGTTGATTTACATTATATTTATTATTTTATTTATTTATTTATTTATTTATTTTGTTAGTATTTTTTATTTCGTTTTTATCTATGTTAAATGTTTTTATCCTTAAGTAGATTTACATTATATTTATTATTTTATTTAGTAATTGTTAGTAATTTTTTTATGACTATTTATCTATTTAACATTTTTATTTCTTCTTAAGTAGATTTACATTTATTTTAATTATTAATTGTAAATATATATTTTTTTAATTTATAAATTGTTAATTTATTTTATGACTATTTATCTATTTTAAATGTTCATGTAGTATCTATAAGTAGATTTACATTTATTATTTTATTTATATATTAATTCATATTTAATTTAATTATAATAATGTTTTTTTATTTAATGCTATTTATGTTTTAAATGTTTGTCTATATTTCAGTTTATTTGTCTTTAGTTCTACTTTCACATGCTCATGATATGTGACAGACCTTCAGCCAATCAGATCAGCCGATTTCAGAGCGCGTTACTATAATACTCCTCACTCCTCCCCGTCTCAGACGTCTGTAATCTCTTAAGGAAATCTGCTGTTGACTGGAATGTGCTGTCAGTCACATACTCGCTGTTTGTGTTGTTTTCGGGTGCTTCGGTTGCATCAGAGTTTTTGAGCGTGTATGTGGGTTAAAGGCCGGACGTTTAACCTGCATTAGCTGTAGGTGCAGGTCTTTCCACACATGCCTTAAGGTTCCTAGAGGTTCGTTTGCATCCACACATCAGAGGAATGTGACTTGCTGGAAAAATATGCAGCCAAAGAAAATCAGTGCTGTCAAGGATGTTAAATAAATGACTTTTGTCACTTTAAATCAGGTTTACTGTGAAGAAACTGGGTGAGTTTGTCCATGTTCATCAGCGTATTGATGCTTTGTTATTTATTTGTAGTGTTTGTTGTCATGCATTTCTCTATTTTGCTCTACAAAAACTGCATATGATGTTAAAGAGTCACTCTCATCTTCACCTGACTAGATAAACTACATCAATATTTAATATTTTTCTAACAACAACATAGTGTAGAATTAGTGCAAATAATTTTACATTTTCGTATCATTTAGATACCATTTTTAATTTTAACTTTAGTTGAAGGTTTAGTATTTTTGTTGTTTTTGACGTTTTTAGTTTTTTTTATGAATTTTTACATAGTTTTATTTTAGTTAAACTAAATTAAAATGAGAAATTTTGCCTTTGCGACTAGCTGAAATAAAATGTTTTTTAATATGTTATTTCATTTTATTTCAGTTAACGTTAATTAACATATTACATTTTTTTTGTTTTCATTTTTATTTTAGTTATTATAATATTTAGTAATATATTAGTTTTAATATTTTTTTGTGTTTTTGTTATTTTTAGGATGTATGTCAATACAGTTTTTATTAATTTTTATTTTAGTTTTAGTTATTTTAGGACAACATTAAATTAAATTAAACTGAGAAATGTTGCCTTGCCAGCTAGCTGAAATGATTTTTTTAAAGGTTATTTCAGTTAACGTTTATTAGTATTTTGAATCTTTCTGAATTGTGTTTTTGTCATTTTTAGTAGTTGATATACTGTATATATAAACTACTAAAAATGACAAAAACACAATTCAGAAAAATTTTACTTTAGTTGTATATTTTTTATTTTAATTTTAAAGTTTAGTAATTTTGTTGTGTTTTTGTCTTTTTTTTTGTCATGTGTGTGTATGTGTATATATATATATATATAATTTATTATTTTTATTTTTTTTTATTAATTTTACTTTAGTTATTTTAGTGCATCAAGTTAAACTAAATTAAAATGAGAAATGTTGCTCTGGCAACTGGCTGAAATAAAAAAAAATTATATTTTATTTTATTTCAGCTTACAAATATTAATATGTTGAATCTTTATATATATATATATAATTAGATTTTCATTTTAGTTACGGTTTTAGTAAACTATCTGAAATAAGTTTTTGATACTATATTTTATTTCAGTTAATGTTTAACTTTATTTTTTAATGGTTTTTAAAGTTAGTCTCAGTTTTAGTTAACTATAACCCTGCTCTCAAACAATCCACACAAGTCTTGATCGGACGGATCGGTCATTATTCTGAACTGACGTGACGGTCGTTCTCTCAGACAGACGACAGATCGAGAAGAATGCATAGCTGCTCATCTTCCTTTGTGACAGATTAAAAGACTCTAAGCTCACACTGATCACATGCAGTCGCTCCTCTGTTGCTCAGCGTATGGTAGCCTCTATCCATCCGGAAACGAGCTTTACCCCAGTTACCCCCGAGCGGACTGGAAATTAATCAGAGAAGCGTGCTTGTTTTGCGTTAGAAATACTGTAGAAGTGATGATAGTACACTTTCATCAAAATATGCAATAGTGTATAGCAGTAGACACGGCTAATTTTACTGCGTTTTATGTTCTGACGCTGTGAATCTTTCATTAGACTCAGCTGAAGTGACTTCTTATGATATGAATCATGTACTTTTAGTATAAATTAGCTTGATAATTTATTTTACAAAAATTACAAAAAAAACACTTATTTTTATTTATCTATTACATTTACATTTATGCATTTAGCAGACACTTTTATCCAAAGTGACTTATGCATATATACACAGTGTACATACAGTGTATATATATATATTTGTATATATAATTAGTATTTTTGTATTTACTTTATATTAATTTTTTTTTTAAATCTAAAATTTATATTTATCATATAATAATTCATAATCTTTTATTCTCCAGTTGTTCTACAGCATATATTGTTTTTTCTCCTCCTTGTTGCGCAGGAAAGTTAAAATGGTGGATATTGTAACGCAAACAATGCCTGCAGAAAGTGAAGTGCATGTGGCCAGGAATTTTCTCACCAAGATTTTGAGAAGTTCTATGAGGTATCGTGCAGCCGTTGGCTTCTGTCTCGTGACCCCAGCCCTGCGTGACCCTGTAGTTACATCACCCATCGGCCCTGCCAGACCCGAGTATCACATCCTTTGCCGTGTGGCATCTTAGCTGTAGCTGTGCTGTTCACGTGCAAGACGGGGATTATACGCTTAAGCTGATTATCGTGTGTCATTTCCACTGGCTTCTGTAGAACCTGTGAACATCAGTGCAGCATCTTCAGTGTTTCCTGCTGTCTTGTTGATGAGTGTTGTCAAAAATAAACAAATATTCTGCTTGTGTTTATTGTGTTAATCTGAGTTCCCCCCTCCTTTTCCACCTCATGCATTTCAGGAAAAACCACTTCAAAGGGTACGTCACTTGCTGCTAAACGAGTGATTATCATGAAATGTATATTATACAAAAGGATGGCATTATGTTATTCACAATTTATGATATTTAAAATTAAAACATCTCTTGGAGCAGAAATATTCCTGATATTCTGAATTAATCTGATGCTTGACCTCTTAATTTAGTTTAACTTTAACTTATTACAGTATTCATTTTATTTTAAATAATTTATTTTTTAATAATTCATAAATTGAATATTGTGACATATAATCCAACAGACCATTTAGACATAGGGCTGGTACTTAATATGATAAAATTCTGTATTCATGATGTTTATCATATGTAGATTTAAATTTTATTTCTTTATTAATTTTTATATATTATTTATTTCTATTTATCCATTTCAAATGTTCATTTGTCCTTATTTTTAACCACTTGCATAGTGATACGCAAAGTACTGTTGCAATTTCTAGAATAAGACCAAACTGGAAGAGTAGTCTTTCTTTCTGAAAGCTTCACAATGCTCTAATTTGAAGCTAAAATTGGTTTTACGTAGTGAAGATTTCTATTTTTATTTCAGGAGTAATGAATCGTCATGTAGACCCCATTCGTGGCACTCCGCTAAATCCACGGATAACTCTACCACCGACACCCCCAAATCTGAACCCAACCCTGTACCCGACCCCACCTGGCAGACAAAATATGATGCAGGGTGAGATTCTGAGTATTTAAATTCAATTGATTCAAATTTAACTCAATCAACATCATTAATTTTCTTTGTTTTTACCAGGTCGCTTTCAAAAGACTTCACCAGCTGTTGGGGACAGACCAATCTGCGACAAGTATCCTGCCAGTTCAGCTCTGTGGGAAATATGGAAAGTGTAGAGCCCTCATCTCATGCTTGCTCGAAAGAGCAGCCATTATCGAGCAAACCCAATGGTGCAGCAGATCACCCAGTGTTTGAGAGTGCCATCAGCAAACCTAATTCTGCATGTAACACGTTTTTGTCAGGCACAGCTGACCACAGTGCACCTCGGGGTGTCACTAGCACAGAAGGGATGTTTTATAGAGGCATTCCCAGTAATTTAGGAGTTTCCAGTGACTGCTATAGATACCTGCAGATCCCCATGGGCAACGGGGGACGAGTGAGTCCCAGCGTGGAGGAGCAAGCTAGCTCCAAATTCTCCTCCACTGGAAGATCCAACCATAGACCTGTGTGGCATATTCCTGAGAACAAGATGTCCACTACTCAAGCTCCTTCTGCTCCTTCTGCTCCTTCTCCACCCTTGCGTAGTGATAGTTTCATTGCCACCAGAGTTCATGAGAAGAGCTTGGTGGGATCGTTCCCTGAAGGACTTTCTGTGTATCCACCACAGAAACCTCACTGCAGAGCTGTGGACCGACAGTTGGATGGTGAACGAGGGCGTGAAGCGAGACACAGCTACAACCCACCTCCAAAGAAGGACTTTCTTCAGCCGTATCTTTCGGTTGAGTACTACCCAAATCAGCCGAACCCTACCAAACTCTTTTCCAAGTCAAGCACTGATGTTAGACAAGGCCAGAACCCATTTGCATATGAACTTCAGCATCAGAGACAGCACAGCGATGATAGTACCTTTTCTGTGTACCCCAATGCTACATGTTCACCAAAGACCCAGAGCATTGGGAGCAACTACCGAAGCCTTCAAGATTTGCCCACCAACACTGGCAGTCGAAACCAAACCAGAACCCCCATGGCATTTGACCCCAATCATGAGGGCCAGGCTCATTTCCGTTACTACTGCATCACTGCCCAGCAGCCATCCCTGGAATCCCCTACACAGGGTTGGATGGAAGATGAACGGAGGTCTGAAACAGGAACCACTCGAGGTGCCACAGACAGAAGCTTTGTTGGTTCTCAAAAGGTTGTGAAGACAAAGTATCCCCAGCCGTACCTCAGTGTACCTGAGAACAAGAGCTCCAACGGTTACAGCAAACAGGCCATCACTGCTCCTTCATCTCAAGCTACGTCCCCAGTACCAAATCATCTGATTTCAAAGTCCAGCTCCGGGGAAAGAGAGATTCCAAAGAAGAAAGAGGGAGTTAAGCCACAGCCTTCCAGGCATGTACCAAATCACCAGATGGAGCAGAAGAACTCTGTGTCCACTTACCACCAGGACAATCCATGGATCAGCAAGCAGGATTACAAGATCTGTCCACACAAGACACCCATGTTGCACTCTTTGGCCCAGGAGAGCAAGAAGATGGCAGAAAAATCAGTAACGGTCAAAGGAGGTGGTCAAGAATCAACTGATGCCATCGGTGGCAAACAGGGAAGACGGAGTGACCGCTATGCCACAACTCTACGCAACGAGATCCAACAGAAGAAGTCCCAGCTTCAGAAAAGCAGAAGTGCAGCTACCTTGACCTGCTTAAGTGAAGTTGAGGAGGACTCTGACATCATGAAATCCAATGAGACCTGCACATCATCTTCTGATGGTTCCTTCACCAACACGTACAAGGATCATCTGAAGGAAGCCCAAGCCAAAGTTCTGAAGGCCACATCGTTTATGAGGAGGGACCTGGAGTTTCCTGGGAACGAAGTTGCACCGGGTCAACTTCCCAAAAAACCTGGGCCTGTTTATGGGCAAGTCAACCGCATTGGGGGGCGTAAAAGGTTTCCCATGGATAAAAAGATACATTCCTTCTCTGAACCAGACAAGATCAATGAAGTAGGAGTTGAGGATAAGGCAGCTGGGTGCTTTGTGGACCGATATAAGTTCTTCGAAGGTTCCTTCAAACCAGTTCTCCAAAAGCCCATTCCAAAGCAATCCCTGCTCAGTCCAACTGAAGACCAAGATGAGAGAAAGACTAGATTAACTGGAAACAGCGAAAGCATCCATCTAGCTCCCTTAAAACACAGTAAATCGAGCCATTCTGATCTTAATACAGAGGAGCAACAACGACTCGGTACATTTGCAGAATATGAAGCTACATGGAACATGCAGAAGAAGCCAGTGGAAAGAAGAGCCACAAGCAGATATCGTTCAGCTGAAAACATCCTGGACTCAGGCTTGGAGGAATCCAACAGTACAGTGTGTGTTCACGAAAGATCCCGTTCCTCCCCTTCTGCTGACTTCTACGGACAGGTAAGAAGATTCTTTGTTTTGTCATGGTACTGATAATGTCTTTAGTGCCCAGATGTCACCTTCATAAAGTTGGTAATTCAACATAATCTACATTTCATTAGATACACCATGTTTTCTCTGCAGAAGCAGATGATTAAGAGATTGTATTGTTTGGTAATAGTTGTAAAGAGTTTGCTGCTGGCACAGTGAATCAAGATAGGTAATATGATCTTTAAGAAGGGCTAGTCTGTCCTTCAGGTAGAAGAATCTTTGGCATCTGTGTAAACGGATCCATATTTCTTTCAGAATATCCCTCTGCCACCCAGAAAGTCTCCTGTTGAATCTCCGCCTGAAGCCAAGGACCAACAGGAGGCCCATATCACTAGGTTAGGATTTCTTGTCTTGTCTTTGTGACAATCTGAGATGGTTATATTTTCTGTGATTTGCTAATGTACAGACTGATAATTAATATATTTTTTTGTAATTTCAACATCACAGTGTATCCGAAAGAGAGCATGGTCTGCTCAACATCTCTGAGCCTCTAGAGTCCATCACACTGAACGTTCTGGAAAGTGATGTGGCACCTCTTTCCTCCAACCAGAAACCCAGACTTGCCAGGTATCCACCACCATTCTCCTCACATCATCTCCAGGTTCCCGTATCAGAGCAACAGCTTCCTAAAAACAAAAGTCATGAACTGCAGAGGTCTGTCCAACCCAAACAGCCAGAAACCACATGCCCTTTCAGAGCCTCCAAGGAAGTTAGAGTTCAGACCTCTTCCCCTGAGCCAACTCAAGGACCATGTCCATCAGAACATCTGGAGAGAGACAAATGCCCGACCTCAGAGGACAATCGGAGATCAGACACCGAGGGGATGTTATCACACACGCTACATCTTTTAGGTCATTCCTCCATTTCTCCCAAGCAGAACATTGACCTGACGGTAACCTCAGCCAGCAGAACACGTTCTCCTTCTCCTCAGTCCTCTCCACAGCCACCTGCAACTGTGCAGAAAAAGGATCCATGCAGGTAAGTAGAGTTTTAGATACTTATAGGACAGTAGGCTATAGACTATGAATCTGCCCATATTTAGCTATTTTAAGGTGATCATTATCGCCAATTTTTGTCCCCTATTGCAGTAGTAAGATGGAGGAAACATCAGAGCCAAACACTGCTGGGCGAAAGGTTCCCATACAGATCATTTGTACAGAAAACGGTTCAGAGGGAGAAAACCGAAACTATCTGCCACATGGTGAATCATCTGGAGGCTCTGAGGTGCCTAAAACTGGCCAGCTAAAAAATCTAGATACTCCAGAGCAATCGAAGTCGCCGTTTATTGCCTACACCCACCTGGATCCAAGTAGAAACGCAGAACGTCAGACTGGCGAGATGGTACTAGACAATAAAGAGAGGGTGAGGAGCAATGGTGTGGGCGAACACTCAGAGGAGGACCTGAAACGAGAGGAGCTGGCCAGAGATATCATGGGGAAGGACAAGAGTCTGGTGGACATCTTGGATCAGAGTAAGATGAAGACTACCATGGATCTGATGGAGGGAATATTTCCACAGGGGGAGCAGCTCCTGGAGGGAGCGCAGCAGAGGAGGAAAGCGGCCTCCAAACAGACGTCTCCCAAAAATACACAGCAGAGGTACACTGCCTGAGAATCTCACAAAAACATGTCCAGTCTTCACATTATGTAGATGACATTATTTAGCATTTTTGGTAATGAGCATTATGGTAATGAATGTACATAATGCAAAAATAAGCAAAGAATGGTCCTAAAATAGTATTGACTCAAATAATTGAGTCATTAAATCGGGATCAGTTACCTGTCTTATTCATAAATCACAGCTTTAGACTGAAAACCTGTTCTCTACTGCCCTCTACTGATACACACACATATAGCAAGTACAATGTATTTGACTTTAAATCTGTGACTGTGTTTCATGTTTGAGAATCATAAAACTGTATTTATATATGGATTTTCTTTGATTTCTGCAGGGTGGAGGACAATTTGGCATCATCAGTGTCGTTAGTGAACAGTTCGTCGTATTATAGCACATCTGCACCTAAAGCAGAGCTGCTCATAAAGATGAAGGACATGCAGGATCACATGGAGGAACAAGATTCAGAGGATGAACTTGATTATGACCTGTCCAACAAGAAGGTGCAATGTTTATGTCCATTTCTTTGCTTGGTTTTTACTTTAATTGTGTTGTACTGGTAGCCCCACCCACAGATGTTCTCATTGGTTGCTTCACATATTACATGTTTTGATTGGTTGTAACTTTGTCGCTTTGTTCAACATTTTTGCTTTCAGTAAGAACTGGTAATGATCTGCATATTTGTCAGTCATACATGAATGAAACAGACCAGATTTCTGCACTCAAACACCTTGAGTGCAGAACATTATACACTATTTACATTATTTTACAAACCTTTTACAAACATTTTACACTAGTTACAAAATTTTACCAACATTTTACGTTATTTAAATTTTACAAACATTTTGCACGATTTACAACAATTTACAACATTTACTAACATTTTATGTTATTTGCATTTTACAAACAGTTTACACTACAGCATTTACAAACATTTTATGCGATTTATAAGTTTACAACATTAACATTTTACAAGCATTTGCATTCTACTCTATTAACATTTTTACAAATATTTTACATTATTTACATGTTACAACATTTACCAACATTTTACGCTATTTACATTTTACAAACATTTTGCACTATTTACAACAATTACTAACATTTTACACTATTTTATACTATTTACAATATTTTGCAAACACTTTATGCTATTTACAATTTTATAACATTTTACTACATTGACATTTTACAAACATTTACATTTTACTATATTTTACTATATATCATTTCAAGCTATTTGAAACATTTGCAAACATTTCAAGCTATTTGCAAACATTTACGAACATTTACACTTGAAATGTTTACAAATATTTTACACTATTTCACTTTTACAAATATTTTACACTACATTTTACAAACATTTTGTGCAATTGCAACTGAAACATTTGCAAACATTTCAAGCTATTTGAAACATTTGCAAACATTTACGAACATTTACACTTGACATTTTTACAAATATTTTACACTATTTCACTTTTACTAATATTTTACACTAAATTTTACAAACATTTTACACTTTACATTTCAGTGCAGATTGTATTCTGTATTTAACTGTATTTGACAAATAAAAATATTGAAAAATATCCTTAAAAAGCTTGAAATCATGACATAGTATATAATGATTTGCATCTATTTTATTTAAATAAACATTTTCAAAATGCATTTATTCTCATTGCTTAAAATCTGCATAAATCTGTTCATTGTGAAAATAATTATATTTATTCAGCTAAGCAGCTCTGCACTAATAATTTATTCTGTCTGGATTGTATAAATGTTTGATGATTGTATAGATGTAAATAGATGTTTTTAATTCTTAAAGTGTGTCTTTGTCATTTCTGTCTCTATGTAGCAAGAGTTGATCGACAGCTTAAGTAAGAAGCTGCTCGTGCTTCGAGAGGCTCGTGAAAGCCTGCAGGAGGACGTGCAGGACAATAACGTTCTGGGAGAGGAAGTGGAAGACACTGTACAGACCGTCTGCAAACCCAACGAGCTGGAGAAGTTTCGCATGTTCGTGGGTGACCTGGACAAAGTGGTCAGTCTGTTGCTGTCTCTGTCCGGCCGACTGGCCCGAGTGGAAAATGCCCTGAACAACCTGGAGGAGGGAACGTTAGCGGACGAGAAGGTATAAATGAGATGCATGTGAAAAATTTTTCTTTTGCTGCACTATTCGTTCCTTCATTTTAGTGAGTCGTTGCCAGATAGTACTAATTTGTTCCCTCGTTTTAGTAAATTGTGGCCACGTTGTACTACTCGTTCCTTCGTTTTTAACAAATCATAGCCATGTTATACTAATTTGTTCCCTCGTTTTAGTAAATTGTGGCCACGTTGTACTACTCGTTCCTTCGTTTTTAACAAATCATAGCCATGTTATACTAATTTGTTCCCTCGTTTTAGTAAATTGTGGCCACGTTGTACTACTCGTTCCTTCGTTTTTAACAAATCATAGCCATGTTATACTAATTTGTTCCCTCGTTTTAGTAAATTGTGGCCACGTTGTACTACTCGTTCCTTCGTTTTTAACAAATCATAGCCATGTTATACTAATTTGTTCCCTCGTTTTAGTAAATTGTGGCCACGTTGTACTACTCGTTCCTTCGTTTTTAACAAATCATAGCCATGTTATACTAATTTGTTCCCTCGTTTTAGTAAATTGTGGCCACGTTGTACTACTCGTTCCTTCGTTTTTAACAAATCATAGCCATGTTATACTAATTTGTTCCCTCGTTTTAGTAAATTGTGGCCACGTTGTACTACTCGTTCCTTCGTTTTTAACAAATCATAGCCATGTTATACTAATTTGTTCCCTCGTTTTAGTAAATTGTGGCCACGTTGTACTACTCGTTCCTTCGTTTTTAACAAATCATAGCCATGTTATACTAATTTGTTCCCTCGTTTTAGTAAATTGTGGCCACGTTGTACTACTCGTTCCTTCGTTTTTAACAAATCATAGCCATGTTATACTAATTTGTTCCCTCGTTTTAGTAAATTGTGGCCACGTTGTACTACTCGTTCCTTCGTTTTTAACAAATCATAGCCATGTTATACTAATTTGTTCCCTCGTTTTAGTAAATTGTGGCCACGTTGTACTACTCGTTCCTTCGTTTTTAACAAATCATAGCCATGTTATACTAATTTGTTCCCTCGTTTTAGTAAATTGTGGCCACGTTGTACTACTCGTTCCTTCGTTTTTAACAAATCATAGCCATGTTATACTAATTTGTTCCCTCGTTTTAGTAAATTGTGGCCACGTTGTACTACTCGTTCCTTCGTTTTTAACAAATCATAGCCATGTTATACTAATTTGTTCCCTCGTTTTAGTAAATTGTGGCCACGTTGTACTACTCGTTCCTTCGTTTTTAACAAATCATAGCCATGTTATACTAATTTGTTCCCTCGTTTTAGTAAATTGTGGCCACGTTGTACTACTCGTTCCTTCGTTTTTAACAAATCATAGCCATGTTATACTAATTTGTTCCCTCGTTTTAGTAAATTGTGGCCACGTTGTACTACTCGTTCCTTCGTTTTTAACAAATCATAGCCATGTTATACTAATTTGTTCCCTCGTTTTAGTAAATTGTGGCCACGTTGTACTACTCGTTCCTTCGTTTTTAACAAATCATAGCCATGTTATACTAATTTGTTCCCTCGTTTTAGTAAATTGTGGCCACGTTGTACTACTCGTTCCTTCGTTTTTAACAAATCATAGCCATGTTATACTAATTTGTTCCCTCGTTTTAGTAAATTGTGGCCACGTTGTACTACTCGTTCCTTCGTTTTTAACAAATCATAGCCATGTTATACTAATTTGTTCCCTCGTTTTAGTAAATTGTGGCCACGTTGTACTACTCGTTCCTTCGTTTTTAACAAATCATAGCCATGTTATACTAATTTGTTCCCTCGTTTTAGTAAATTGTGGCCACGTTGTACTACTCGTTCCTTCGTTTTTAACAAATCATAGCCATGTTATACTAATTTGTTCCCTCGTTTTAGTAAATTGTGGCCACGTTGTACTACTCGTTCCTTCGTTTTTAACAAATCATAGCCATGTTATACTAATTTGTTCCCTCGTTTTAGTAAATTGTGGCCACGTTGTACTACTCGTTCCTTCGTTTTTAACAAATCATAGCCATGTTATACTAATTTGTTCCCTCGTTTTAGTAAATAGTGGCCACGTTGTACTATTCGTTCCTTCGTTTTTAACAAATCGTAGCCATGTTGGACTATTTTGTTCCCATATTTTAGTAAATCTTAGCCACATAATACTAATTCCTTCCTTCGTTTTAGTAAATCATGGCCACGTTGTCAAAGAACATGAAAGTAATGTCTCTGAATTCAACTTTATGATTTAAGGTAACAGTTTGGAGATATTTGACTGAATAAGTCCTAATTTGACATAATTAGTTCTTGGACCAAAGCACATTTTCTGAATGTTTTGTACAATAAACTATACTTGTGTGGTACTTTCAGCACACTTTGACCGAAAAACGCAAACTGCTGATTCGCCAGCACGAAGACGCCAAAGAGCTGAAGGAGAACTTGGACCGAAGGGAACGTCTGGTTTATGAGATTCTGGCCAGTCACCTCAGCGAAGAGTGTCTCGCAGACTACCGGCACTTCGTCAAAATGAAGTCGGCGCTCATCATTGAGCAGCGTAAACTGGAGGATAAGATCAAACTGGGTGAAGAGCAGCTCAAATGTCTGAAGGACAGTCTGCCGCTGGACCAGAGACTGCTGTACTGAACTATACTGATCCATAGCGCACTATACTGAACTCTGGACTGGTCTAGACTGGACTGGACTACGTTAAGTTAACTCTTGTTGGGAACTAGACTCTAAGCAGACGTATTTCATATCTGCTTGTGTGCACTGAATAGATTTATTACCATCAACACAAAATCATTCTCATATAAGTTCTGAGCGTTTTAAAAAAAAAGTTTTTTTCTACCTGTATGTGCGTTTAACTAATTTGCTTTGCGGCTGAAAGCTAACGGTGCTATTAACTGAAAGTTAGATCTGCTTATTCTTAACTAGATCCAGACTGAAAAGCTGTTTTACTCATTTCATGTGAATGAAAGGGAGGTTTAGAATATCTCTACTCTTATCTAAAATATGAACCTGTGAACCAGGAAAATCATTTGTGATATACTGTTCATAAACACGCTTGCAGTGCACTTCTGCTGCAATAAATTGGAATAAAAATAAAAATATATATGGCAACTTTTGTTGTAGCTCTTCATAGTTATGGATGGGTTACAATTAATTTGTCTGTCTGATATCACACTTGCTGTAAGGAAGTGATTCATAAATATTTAGCTGTAAACAAGAATATTACGGTATATAATTAAGCGTCACCCATGATTTTATGATCTTTATGAGTCACTGTATTTTCCAATATGAGGCGACCGATCTCAGATTCCTCATTGTTTGGTTTTATGATGTTGACCGTGATCATGAGCCATGGTCAATCATTCACAGAAACATATTCACGAGCTTATTTACAGAAGATTTCTAAACAGCAGGAAGTTTCAGACGGGTTCCAGTCCAGCGCTGAAGATGAAGGAAACGCTGAGAGAAGATTCACTTTTACATCGAGAGAAACTCACGGATCAGTCGAGCATGTGCTGATATGGTAATATGATTCAAATTTTTAATTATACAATTATATTTGATGCATACTGATTGGAAATATATTTTAAGACGACCACAAAACGTCTTGAGAAACGAATGACAATGTTTGAAAGTCAGTTTTATATAAAGCTAGTTTGCGTTTAATCCAGAGCTGTAAATGTAAAATGCAAAACAGTGAAGTATCACACGTCTCATTATAATATACGACGATATATATAATGGGAATATGCAAATAAGAAGCTTATGCTTCAGTAAAATCATCATATTCTTATATATATATATATATATACTTACACTACCATTCAGTTTGGGATCAGTAAGATTTGTTTGGAAGAAAATGAGTACTTTTACTTTTATTACATATTATATTCAATATAAAAAATATGTATGTATACATTTTATATACATATATATATATATATATATACATTTTAAAATCAAATTCACTTATATATACAATGGGAAAAAAAGATTTATATCTACATATAAATTAAAAAGGAAGCTGTGCTTTAATGCCATGTTTTTCCACTTCTTTTATGGTGGGCCAAATCAAAGGTCATCAAGGGCCCTGGTTTGGACATCACTAATTTTAAAAGACCTGCCAAAATATTCTGATGATTAAACAGGTGAAAAAAATTATAGAAACTGTGACCTAAATATATATATAGGTGACAGCACCTCAAATATACACTTTCTTCATCTATGCACATCTAATTAAATTAATGTAAAAAAGGGTTATTTAGTCTCTATGATATTTTGGCACAAACGCCCATGTTAACCATGACCTTTAGGTGAAGTATTACGTTTGTGTTTGGCTTCTGAAACATGAGCAACAGGAAGATGGTGATCTAAACTAAATCTCTCTCGGTCTCGTTCTCTCAGAGGGATGTCTGAGAGCTCTGTTTGCCAGGTTTCTTGGAGACGGCATTGGTTAGTTAAACCCACAACAAGCAATTAACTCCATAAAGACCTGCAGTCACGTTCAGCCGCTTCAGAGAGACGATCGAGGCTCTTCAGGATGGACGTTTTAGAGCGTGCTGTAAATATAAGCGTATGTGTTTTATAGGGGTTGGATTTGCATATTTTATCATTTATTTTATTGTTTGCTTTTATTATATTTTTTATTATTATTTATTGTTGTTATTTATTTTATATTGTCTGATTTTAAGTATTTTATTTATAATTTGATTATCTTATTACTTTTTTTTGTATTTGTATTTAATTTTAATATTGTTTATTTTGTTGATCTATTTTTAATTTATTTGTTTGCATATTTTTATTTATATTATTTATTTAATTACTTTTTTTATTTTTGTTTTATTTATTTATTTATTATTTTAATTTTTTTTACTTTTTTTGTATTTGTATTTCATTTTAATATTGTTTATTTTGTTGATCTATTTTTAATTTATTTGTTTGCATATTTTTATTTATATTATTTATTTAATTACTTTTTTATTTTTGTTTTATTTATTTATTTTTTATCTTTTTTTATTATTATTTAATCTTTTTATTTTTTATTTTTTTTACTTTTTTGTATTTGTATTTAATTTTAATATTGTTAATTTTTTTGATCTATTTTTAATTTATTTGTTTGCATATTTTTATTTATATTATTTAATTACTTTTTTATTTTTGATAATTTGTTTTATTTATTTATTTTTTATCTGTTTTAATTTTTTTATCTTTTTTTTTTTTACTTTTTTTTGTATTTATATTTAATTTTATTATTGTACATTTTTTTTATCTATTTTTAATTTATTTGTTTGCATATTTTTATTTATATTATTTAATTACTTTTTTATTTTTGATAATTTGTTTTATTTATTTATTTTTTATCTGTTTTAATTTTTTTATCTTTTTTTTTTTTACTTTTTTTTGTATTTATATTTAATTTTATTATTGTACATTTTTTTTATCTATTTTTAATTTATTTGTTTGCATATTTTTATTTATATTATTTATTTAATTACTTAGTTTTTTAGTTTTTTATTTTTGATCATTTTTGTTTTATTATTTATTTTATTTTTATATATTTTTATTAGATTTTTATTTATAAATTTGTATTAGTTTGCTTATTTGTAATTTTTATTTGATTTATCATTTATTTGATTTAATAATTTTGTAAATGTTATTTTTACTGCATTTTTATTAGTTTTTTCTTTTTTGATTATTGTTTAGATCAATGTTTTCCAGGAAACTGCGGTCTGAGACCAGACGTCATGCCTTACCTCGTCCACACGGCTCACGCGCAGCTCGTGGCTCTGTGGCTCGGGACGGTGGGCTGGACGCTCGTGATCGTGACCGTCGGGCTGGTGGAGTGGAGGGTTTGGGAAGTGTCCGATCTGTCGGTCATCACCTCTGGACTGGCATGGGTTGGTATTTGGAGAGTGTGTTTTTATAGCCACGCTCTGATTTTATCTGACAATCAGATCATGTTCTGTCAGCGGATCCATTTGTCTGAGTCGTTCACGCCACCAGAAATCGTGGCGGCGCAGGTGCTGATGATCGTGGCTCTGTTTCTGGGCCTCGCGGGAAACGCCAGCGTCGTTTACGGCCTCAGGAATGTTTACTTCGGATTAAACAAGATCAGATTAGCATTTGCTTCTGGTGGGGTTTTGCTCATTCTTACCGGAGCTTCTGCGCTCGTTCCTGTGTGCTGGAATCTCAGTTCTGTTGTAAACAATCAGACTATATTGTTCCCGGCGGAGTTTCGCATGCCATCAGCTCCGGTGAACCAGTCCATCGGACCCGGTATCATCATGGGGATTTTTGCATCAGTCCTGCTGGTCTTTAGCGGGTTGGTCTTCCTGTCCTACAGGGCCCCGGTAATGTTGGAGCCCAAAGTGAGGCCGTCCAGGCCTGGAGAAGGTCCTTCAGGGACCCATGTGAACCATCAGGGAATTGACAATCCAGCTTTCCAAAGTTGAGACGCGTGAGACCGTTTTCAGGACGGATGTGAGTGAGTAATTAGGATGCTGTGTTCTCTTCGGGCCCCTGGAGGCCCTTCGTGTAACATTACTGTAACCATTACTGTACAAACACTCCTCGAGCCCCAATTAAATAGCCTAATTAAAAATAATAATTACAATAATTGTATAAAGTATTATTAATACACTGGGAAGTAACTGATTAATCTGGATTACGTATTCAAATTCCCAAAACTTTTATGTAGATTACATATTATTTACACAATGACAGTAAATTATTCATTATGTATTAATTTGCTCTAATTCTTTCTTTTTTTCCTCTTAACTTTCTAAAAACATTGTACCGCTTATATATGTGACCCTGGACCACAAAACCAGTCATAAGGGTAAATTTTGTCAAAATTGAGGTTTATGCATCATCTGAAGCTGAATAAATAATCTTTCCATTGATGTATGGTTTGTTAGGATACAACAATATTTGAAAATCTGGAATCTGAGGGTGCAAAAAAATCTAAATATTGAGAAAATAATCTTTAAAGTTGTCCAAATGAAGTTCTTAGCAATGCATATTACTAATCAAACATTAAGTTTTGATATATTTACGGTAGGAGATTTACAAAATATCTTCATGAAACATGATCTTTACTTAATATCCTAATGATTTTTGGCATAAAAGAAAAATTACAATTGTGACCCATACAATGTATTGTTGGCTATTGCTACAAATATACCCCAGCGACTCAACACTGCTTTTGTGCTGCAGGGTCACATATGCTCGGAAAGTCTTCCAGTTTTATGAAACTGCACGCACCTGCCACTAGTCAGGTGACTAATTACACAGAAAATGGAGAGGCCACACAATTGGTTTAATTTGATATTTTTATGATTTAATTATTCGCTTTCCAGCACCTTACAAACCCTCTGCAGACTCCGATTTGATCAAGTTGATAAAGAATGGAAAATGTTTCCTTATGAGTTATATCAAAAGTAATGTAAAAGTAATCAAAAAGTATTCACAATACATTACCTTATATGTGTAATCCAATAGATTGTTACCAACTACGCTTTCCGTTATGTAATTTGTAATCGGTAATTAATCAATAATGTACGAACAATACTGTGATAATTTGGAAAATATTTTGCACCTGACATTGTAGTAACTTTAACGAAATTTAAGTTGAATTTCGGGCATGCAAAAAAGTATATCGTCTATTATCAATAGTTGTAGATGTATTTAAGCCTAGCTCAAGCAGAAGTCACTTTCAAAACAAGCAGCTTTACTTTTATTCAGTGTGGCGAATTCGCGTGAACAACTTGAATACGAAGCTCCCGATTATGCAGATTTCTATTTGAATGACTGTACAGTATTTTTCCTGTGAAATTTCGCAGAGCAGCAGTAAAGGTGGCACCGGGTCAAAATTGCATTGTCGAGAGCAGCGGGCCCAAGCCTTTATGGGGGCCCCAGGCAGAAGTTTATTTGGGGGCCCCTCGGTGCCCTTTTAATTGTAACCATGTGTTAATCTGTTAATCTGCATTTATGCCTTGGCCCAGCTCAGGGGTGCGTTTCCCGTACAACGACGTAACTCACTGATTAACCACCAGAGTGCGTTGCATTGTTGTGGAAACTAACTAGCCAGTCACGAACACGCTCGCATCTCCGTCGCTTGAACCACATTAGTTCAACAATTTAGGGCCGTTGTTAATGATGTCACACGCATGTGGTGGAGTAATAACGTCTGCTAATTAATTGATTCGAGATCTCTTGAGATGCTGCTGTGTTCAACATGGCACATGATGACAAAGTTACTATGTTTTGTTCCCTGTCGTTTTGCTTTATTTGATGTTTGATTCATCGCGGGGTTCTCTGCAGTATTTATGCACATGCGCACTGTTCAAAAACAGGGCTTATTGAGGACGCGCTAAAATGTATCGATTATAATGTGTATATATATTTAAATAGAATGGAAGATATAGATTGCACTGCATGTTAGCTTGCTTTGTGCCCAAAAGCATCATTTATTTAAGTCCATATGTCTTACTAACAAGAAACTATTCTTCTAACCACAGGTGGAGAGCTGTAGTTATACCACGTATGTTTGCGACGCTGTTTGCGAATGTTCGTTTGATCTATGGTTTCGGGAAACACCGAATCGTTGAACTATGTTGGAACTTGCGACGATAGTTGGCTAACGATGCTTTTGGGAAACACACCCCTGGTCGAGGGAAATAAAACGGATAAGTCTCATCTGTGTATAAGTCACATTTTTTTACACTCAGAAGTCATTTAAAATACTGGTAAATAAAACTAGATGTTTACAAACGTTATAAATGCTATAAACATATTTTACAATCAACCAAGTTGATTATACTTAAAATTTTAATGCAGCAACTGAACCTATGTTTTTAAGTTAAAATAGGTGGATTTATATATATATATATATATATATAGAGCACCTGTTTACATTCTAATTTAACTGCATTTAAAAAAATATATTTTGTTCTATTTTCCCTCCTGTTTTTTTTCTTGCTTTTTTGTTATTTGCTGTTGTTTTTGTGCTTTTATCTTCTCTCTAGGGTTTTTTTCGGTGTGTGTGTAATTTATTCATCGCGGGGTTCTCTGCAGTATTTATGCACATGCGCACTGTTCAAAAACAGGGCTTATTGAGGACGCGCTAAAATGTATCGATTATAATGTGTATATATATTTAAATAGAATGGAAGATATAGATTGCACTGCATGTTAGCTTGCTTTGTGCCCAAAAGCATCATTTATTTAAGTCCATATGTCTTACTAACAAGAAACTATTCTTCTAACCACAGGTGGAGAGCTGTAGTTATACCACGTATGTTTGCGACGCTGTTTGCGAATGTTCGTTTGATCTATGGTTTCGGGAAACACCGAATCGTTGAACTATGTTGGAACTTGCGACGATAGTTGGCTAACGATGCTTTTGGGAAACACACCCCTGGTCGAGGGAAATAAAACGGATAAGTCTCATCTGTGTATAAGTCACATTTTTTTACACTCAGAAGTCATTTAAAATACTGGTAAATAAAACTAGATGTTTACAAACGTTATAAACGCTATAAACATATTTTACAATCAACCAAGTTGATTATACTTAAAATTTTAATGCAGCAACTGAACCTATGTTTTAAGTTAAAATAGGTGGATTTATATATATATATATATATATAGAGCACCTGTTTACATTCTAATTTAACTGCATTTAAAAAAAAATATTTTGTTCTATTTTCCCTCCTGTTTTTTTTCTTGCTTTTTTGTTATTTGCTGTTGTTTTTGTGCTTTTATCTTCTCTCTAGGGTTTTTTTCGGTGTGTGTGTAATTTATTTGAATTGTTAAAAGTGTGTCATTGTTCACAGCACTGTCGCTGTATACTGAAACATGTTGTTATCAGACACAGACGAAATTAAAGCACTGAAAATTTGAATTTGTTATTATAAAAATATACTTTAGACATTCATGCATTTGACTGACACTGTTATCCAAAGAAACTTTGCATTATACATTTTGATCAGTTCATGGTTTCACTGGGAATCGAAATTATGACCTTGGCGTTGCTTGCAGCATGCTCTGTTTGATATTGATATATATTTTAGGTATATAGGTATAAATAGGCTTATATTTTTTTAATTACGTTTAAAGTTTGATACACTTGATGTTATTGAACATGTGAGGAAGTAAAAAGTATGAGCAGTTTGAGATCAGTATCTGATTATAAACCTACAGTCCGGAGCAGAATTGACTGTAGAAAATGCTTCATGAGGAAGAAGATAAAGGCTCGGACTGTAATCCTGATGATTAAGTCAATGAAGGATTTAAAGGGATTATTTCCTTTATCTTTTTCTGCTTGATCCTGCAAGGACAGTGCAATCGCAGGTAATACGTGTTTTTTTTAGCTTTATTAAACAGTGATTGGGTAAGAAGCTTCACATTGATATAATAAATTTTTTTTCTATCAAGGTTTTTTGCACTCAGAGTATGTACTTCATTAGTGATAAGCAAGTACACACTATTGACAGTATGCTACTATTTGGACGTATACATGAATTGAGTTTTAATGCCGCAGGCCTCTATTAATCATCGTTTGCATGTACACTACTGATCAAAAGTTTGCAATAATTAAGATTTTTTAAAGTTTTTAAAAGAAGTCTGTTCTGCTCTCCAAGGCTGCATTTATTTGGATTTTATTGCATTTTACAAAATGCCCAAAATTGGGGTTGTAATTGATCAAACTTGAGTAAACCAGCATATTGATTTCTGAAGATCATGTGACACTGAAGACTGCAGTAATGATGCTGAAAATACAGCTGCGCATCACAGAAATACTTTACATTGTAATATATATTGCAATCAAAAACACTTCATTTAAATGGTAATAATATTTCACAATTTTGACTATTTTTTGATCAAATAAATGCAGTCTTGATGAGCAGAAGAAAAAATCTTTCCAACTCCAAACTTTCAAGTCAAGTCTGCTTTATTGTCAATTCTTCCACATGTACAGCACATACACACAGAGAATTGAAATTGCGTTACTCTCAGACCCTTGGGTGCATACAGATAACAAATACAGATTAAATACAAAATACAACTATACAAATATACAAATAAGGTAAAATGTAAAAATATATTCAGTGTATAAAGCACAAGGCATATGGAGGATAGAGTGCAAACCAGTAAAGTAAACAACAGTGCAGATATAGTGATGTAGTGCAAAAAAGTGATTTGTAGTGCAAAAGAGCTTATTTCAGACTGATTAAAGTGACAGTGTGTGTGTATTTGGGAGGGGGGAGTGGGAGCGGGTTTCTGGTCTAAACACACACCGCTGCGGCCCCTTGCTCTGGATCCTTACACTGTGCTGAGCTCGGAAAATGTAAATAAATGCATAAAGTGCATTGCACTGAGAATCTGCTTGGGCGGGGCTCCGGGGAAGCGGTTTTACTGTCCAGGCGCTCCGGTCCGAGTGCTCCGATTTCGGTTTTGCTGTACAGCTGTACAGCTTTACA